CCCCGGCCGCCCGCCGCGACCCCTGCTCCTGCCCCTCCCGAGCTTCTCTCATCAGCGCAGCGGCTGGCGCAGGTGGAGCGCGCCTGCCAGGCGGCCCAGGTGCTGACCTCCCACTCCGGACTCCGGTCCGAGTACGGGGCTCCTCCGGAGCCCACAGGGCTGGAAGACCCCTGGATCCAGGGTGCTCAGCGCCCCTCGCGGGGAGGGGCAGGCCTCGAGTCTCATCACCCTGCCCCCGCACTTTGAGGTGACCCTGTTTTCCACCAACCTGGTGTCCAGGAAACTGTGGGGCTCCATAGGGAAAACTCGCTCTATGGGGTTCAGCCTGAACCCCCTGGCCCTGAGGACACCCTGGGCACTTCCACTGGCTCCTTGTCTCTCCCTGCACTTCCTGCTGAGAAGGTCAGCGCCATCTCCCTGCTGGGCCAGCCCTGGAAGGCCACCCTGCCAACCCACCTATCCCCAAGCCCTCAGCTTCCATGTGCCACAGGGACGAGTGGGCAGACCTCCTGGCATTTGTGTGCTGCACTGTGGGTACTGGGGAGCAGGGCCCAAGCCCTAAAGAGTGGGTGGCTGCTGGTGAAGAGCTCTGATTTTGGCTCCAGAAATGGGTGTGCTGAGGTTCCTGGCGCTGAATGTTTTCCTCTCCCAGGAGAAGAGCTGGGGACCTCATCGCTCCCCATGATGTAAAGGTAGGGGTAAGGGGTATGGGTCATGCAGCTTTCAGGCCTCTTGTCAACCATAGGGTTGTTCTTTTTTTCTTTTCTTTTTTTCTTTGGTACCATGAATTGAACCCAGGGTGCTTAACCACCGAGCCATATCCCCAGCCTTTTTAATATTTTATTTAGAGACTGGGTTTCATTGAGTTGCTTAGGGGCTCCCTATGTTGCTGAGGCTGGCTTTGAGCTCAAGATCCTTCTGCCTCAGCCTCCTGAGCTGCTGGGATGTCAGGCTTGTGCCTCTGTGTCTGGCTAAGAGCTGTCCTTTTCTGTTGGTTTAGTAGCAATAGCAACTCTCCAGTGTGCCCCACAGTGTGATTGGGCTCCCGGGCTGCAGAGAGGGTGCCATCTCTGCCCCTCCCAGTGACCCTGGCTCAGAGTCAAAAAACCATGCTTCAGTTGCTCCTGGGGCTACACCAGGAAATGAAAGCTCCTGGGCAGGGGGACAGGGCCTCTTCCCTGTCATCTCACCAGGTGGTCCTCCAGGAAGATGGCAGCACTTCACTGACCCCATGCCAAGCCCTCCTTTCCTGTGTTCTGTCCCACTTGGGGGAAGTAGAAGTGTGGCTTGGAGAGGTTAAGTGAACCCACACGTACCTTGGAGGTCAAGGTGGGAACCCCCAGTGCTCCTTGGGTCGGGTGGTAAGCTTGGGAGAGGAAGCAGGACTATTCCCTGACCTTTGGGCCTGGAACCCACTGGGGCTGCCAGGAGAACAGCAGCTCAGCTCTCCTCCTTCCCTCCCCCCAGGAAGAGAAACCTCTACAGGAGCGCGTGCCTGGCCCTGGCTCTCCTCGTGGCTGTCACGGTATTCCAGCGCAGTCTGACTCCTGGTCAGTTTCTGCAGGAGCCTCCTCCCCCCACGCTGGGGTCACCAAAGGCCCAGAAGCTGAGTGGAAACCTGGTGAACCCTAAGAGCTTTTGGAAGAGCCCCAAGGATGTGGTGGACCCCACCCCTACGGCCTCCCAGGGACCCCAGACCTGGGACGTGACCACCACTAACTGCTCGGCCAACGTCAACCTGACCCATCAGCCCTGGTTCCAGGGCCTGGAGCCACACTTCCGGCAGTTCCTGTTCTATCGTCACTGCCGGTACTTCCCGATGCTGATGAACCACCCTGAGAAGTGTGGCGGTGACGTCTACCTGCTGGTGGTCGTCAAGTCCGTCATTACCCAGCATGACCGCCGCGAGGCCATCCGCCAGACCTGGGGCCGCGAGTGGGAGTCTGCTGGCAGGGGCCGAGGCGCTGTGCGCACCCTCTTCCTGCTGGGCACGGCCTCCAAACAGGAGGAGCGGACCCACTACCAGCAGCTGCTGGCCTACGAGGACCGTCTCTACGGTGACATCCTGCAGTGGGACTTCCTTGACAGCTTCTTCAACCTCACCCTCAAGGAGATCCACTTCCTCAAGTGGCTGGACATCTACTGCCCCAACATCCCCTTCATCTTCAAGGGTGACGATGACGTCTTCGTGAACCCCACCAACCTGCTTGAGTTTCTGGCTGACCGGCAGCCACAGGAAAACCTGTTTGTGGGTGACGTCCTGCAGCGCGCGCGGCCCATCCGCAGGAAGGACAACAAGTACTACATCCCCCCCATCCTGTACAGCAAGGCCAGCTACCCGCCCTATGCTGGCGGTGGGGGCTTCCTCATGGCCGGCAGGCTGGCCCGCCGCCTGCACCACGCCTGTGACACCCTGGAACTCTACCCCATTGATGACGTCTTCCTGGGCATGTGCCTGGAGGTGCTGGGCGTGCAGCCCACAGCCCACAAGGGCTTTAAGACCTTCGGCATCTCCCAGAACCGCAGCAGCCGCATGAACAAGGAACCCTGCTTTTTCCGCTCCATGCTGGTGGTGCATAAGCTGCTGCCCGCAGAGCTGCTGGCCATGTGGGGGCTGGTGCATGGCAACCTCACCTGCTCCCGTAAGCTCCAGGTGCTCTGACGCTGCAGGCCACTAGGGCATGTGCTCAGTCCCCAGAGTGCTGGGGCTGGAACTGCAGTGCCCGGGCATGGCCTTTGATTCCCTGCTGGAGGTGAAGGGTTTGGACATTCTGTGCCCCTAGGTGCAGGGAACAGAGGGGGATCCCAGAAGTTCCCAGAAAGCAAGGCCCAGGAACGCTGGAGCTTCCCAGACTGGAAGTGATCCGAGGAGCTGGGACCCTCCTAGTCTGGCCTGTGAGAGGCCCTGGTGGCCTCTGAGGGAACCCTGTGCTCGGGTGTCTGGGCTGGGCCTAGCCCCGGCTGGTCTGCGGCTGCCCCTTGCCTTCACAGAGAATCTCTCTGTGAATTGCCTCGGTCTCCCCAGGGCCAGATGGCCTTGCAGGAGAAGCTCAGCCCTGTGCAGGCTCACAGGTGCCCCACAGTCCACAACTTGGTGTCTTCTAGGACAAGAGCCCCAGAAGGCTCCAGCACGGCCCAGGGCTGCCTGGAGCCTGTGCCTCTGCTCCAGGGGCCTTTGCTCCTGGCTGCGTCCTCTCACGGCCAGGAGTGTGACCAGCCACTCTGTCTACCTCAGCGCTCCTCCAGACCTCGGCGTGGGTTGCAGCCCACCCAACCCTGACGCAGGGCAGAAGCACAGCGCTCCTGGCCCCCAAGTCCCGGTGCTGTCTGACCCTAGCCCGAGCCCCAGTCCCTCTGGCAGCCCCACTGAGGCTGGTTCCCTGGCCAGCAACTAGCTGATTTGGCCCTGGAAATGGACAGTCCTCGATTACTGTGAAGTTTTATTTATGAAGAATTTGGAGGAAGAAGGCTCCGGCCTCAGGAGGTGATGGACCCTTCTCCCTCTCCTGCCTGCTCTCTCAGCCACTTTTACCCCCAGCTGAGCACCCCCCCCACCTTCACAGCCCTCTCCAGATACCTCCCCAACACACCCTGCTCTTTCAGGGCCTGAGCAGACCAGCATGTGCCCTGTGAAGGGATGGACCAGGCCATGGGGGTGGATAGCGAAAGGTTGCACCCCTGCCTCAGGGTGGGGTCACCTGGTTAGGATGGGGGATTGTCTATTTTCTCAATAAAACGGGACTTTTTTTTTTCTGGTGTGAAATCTGTTGCCAGCTCCGTCCGAGAGCCTTTCTGGGACCAAGGTTGCCAGAGGTTTCTGAGATAGCTAGTTCCTTATTGGCCTTGGCTGGTGGGTGCACAAGGACCCCCAGAAGAGCCCTGGAGGAAGGTGCCCACTGGGATTAAAGTGGGGTGTGGCGGTCAGCAGGCGAGACCCCTGTGAGCTGTGGCCCCCAGCTGTTTCAGGCGTCAGGGTGAACAGCTGAAGCGCTGGCCCAGGGGTGAGCCTGAGACCAGAATTTCAGTGGCTGAGATTGGGCAGGTGTCTACCAAAACCAGTGGCCTCTCTCCCTGTCACCTGGAAGCACTGAACCCGGTTCAGTGTGGTTCAGGGCTAGAGTTGGGGTGACTGCCCTGTGCATGTTCCTTGGCCTGAACTGCTGCCTTCAGGGAGGGAGGGCAGCTACCCAGGAGAGGCCCACCAGGACCGTAGCAGAGAGCAAGCTGGCGGCTCCCTGCCTGGGCCAGCTCGGGAGCACCCCACAGGGGCCAGAGGGATGCCCACTGTGGGCCCAGTCATCCATATCCAAGCCCCTGGGAAGGAAGAGAGCACAGGGTGCTGCTGTTCCTCCCTCTACCACACAGGTCTTCCCATCTCCCTCGACTGTTTTCCCATCAACCACCTACTTTTTGTTCGTGATTGAACCCGGTGACACTTTACCACTGAGCTCCACTCCCACTCCGTTTTTAAATTTTGAGACCAGGGCTCACTAAATTGCTTCTGGCCTTGCTAAATTGCTGAGGCTGGCCTCTGACTGGCTCTTGTTCCCTCTTGTCTCAGTCTCCAGACTCACTGTGACTACAGGTGTGCGCCACCATGCCCAGCTTCAGCTACATTATTTCAAAGCAAAAAAGTTATTAAGAATCATTGCGACAGCAGATCATTAAACCAAGTGCAGGGCCCTTTTGAGAAGCCCAGCCCTGCTGTGGACTGCAGGAGGCCCTGAGTTAATAGTCAGGGGGAGGGCAGCAGAGAGGGTGGAAGGGCCATACTACCCAGGGGCCCAGGGGCCAGCTGAGGGGCCCCCTTAATCAAAGGGCAAAGGGAGGCAGGCGGATAGCTCTGGTGCTGGGGAGGCAGGCAGGGCACATTCTCTGGCCTCTCGGATGCAGGAAGGTATCTAGACTTGATCTTGAGAGCAGAGGGCCCAGGTGCCTGGGGGTAGGGCTATCTTCAGGAACCGAAGAGACCAACAGGCTTGGGGCCTCTGCAGCTGTCTCCTGGGCTCATTCTGCATGACCCTGACCGAGCCCCATTGACTGGAAGCTCTAGGTGGGGCAGCCTTTTTCCCGTGGATCCTAATGATGCTGAGGCCACCTCACGGCCACTCAGTGCTCTGGCTGTCCTCAGCCTCTGCCTGGCCAGATGTGGGGCCTCACCACACTCTTGCTGGCAGGCCAGTGGGGAGTCCTGCATCAGCATAGCAGAAGGGCAGAGGACCTGCCTGGGGTGGGCTGGGGGGTGAGAGCGGGAACCGCCCTGGGCTGGCAGTGCACCTGTCTTGAAGGAGGTGTGGATTTCTGTCTGTCATGGAGGGACAGTCCAGTCCAGGCTTCTGGACAAGAGCCCAGAAGTGCAAAAACTTAGGACATGAGCAGGAACCGCTGCTGGGAACAGTGTGGGGGAGGGGTTGGTGAAAGCTAGGGGACTCTCTGCAGGTACTGGGCGCCATCACAGTTTCCCAAGCAAAGCAAAGGAGTCGTAGAAATGCATCCTCACCCCCAGTCCCCCACCCAGGGCGTGGTGAGGGAGCCAGCCTCAGGCCTGTTTGGCTTGGCAGGACATACAGGTCAGGATGGGCACATGGCCCCAAACCTCCACTGTCCCCTGGCTCCTCTCCCCCCAGCAGGGAGGAGCTCCACAAGCAGGGGCTGGGACCTGGAAGGAGAATGGCCAGGCGCGGCCACCTGGAGCCAGCCTTGGAGGACACCCAGCCCAGATGCCATCCCAGCTGGTCTGGCCCTCTGCCTGCTCCTGATCTGGCCACTCTGCCCAGCTGACCCTGGGAGAGTGTCCTGAGTCCCAGCCTCCTCAGTCCTGACTGTCTCTGAAGACAAGGCTGACCTTTGTGAGGTCCACTGCTGATCATTTTGGGAAACAAACACAGGTCGTTCTGGAAGATTCAGGCATTTACAGTCTTGCTTCTGTTGTGGGGTCCTAGATGCTGAATCTGACACCCCTATAACAAAGACAGGCTGACAAGAGAAAAGTGTAACAAATCAAAGTCCTGTGTGACACAGGGACCTTCAGAAATTAGGACCCCAAGACCAGGCAGGCCGGCTGTTGTGATGTAATGACCCCCCTAATTGTAAAATACAGGGAGAAACCCAGCAAGGCCTGTCTGCCCAGATTCCTGGCCTCTCTGTGGGCCTTCCTTCCCTCAGGCGAGTGGGGAGCCGGGGAGCCATAGCAGAAGGGCAGAGGACCTCAGGAACAGGCAGGACCCTCTGGAATGAGGGTCTTCCTGGGACAATGGAGAGAATTTTTGTGGCTTGCTTTGGAAGAGGGAGCCCTGCTTCCCCTGACGGGCCTTCATGGAGAGTAATTCTGGTGTCTGAAGACGTTCGGGGGAGCAGAGGGGACAGACTGCTCCCCCAGGCCTTCAGTCTGCTTTAGTTCAAAGCACTCAGCACACCACCGAGGCAGCCTTTGGGGTGTCATTTTCTGGGCCCCAACACTGACAATAAGGAAAACAATGGCCACCTTAGGGAGCACATTTGATTCGCCTTACACTGTGGGTAGCATTTACATGAATAATTGAGAAGACTTACGTGACTTCAGGGTACAAATGTGTTCATATTAAGATCTTTCCTCTTTGGTGACTTCACGCCCTCACATGTCCTTGTTGGCAGAACATCCAGTCACCCTCTTGGAGCCCACTCATCCCGAATTGTGTGAGAACTTCAGGGACTTGCTTAGTCCAAAGGGCTTCCTCCGGCAAGTCTGGGCAGGCCCTTCCAGCTGTCCCCCCTCACTCCACACTGTGGCGCTGTCGGACACGGGGCCTGCACAGTCCTGTGGCTTCTCAGACTGGGCCTGGGCTGCCTAGGCTGCAGGGCAGCCCATGTTTCAAAGTGTCCTTCTCTGTCACCCCTACCAGCTCAGTCATCCTTCTCCAAAAAGCAGCACTATGTTTGGGGTACTGGGTCCTGTGGCTCCTGGTCAGCTGCAGCCTTGTAGGTAAAGCCCACAAACACTCAGGTTCCCTCTGTCCTACTGAAGCAACTTCTGAGGTCCTTGGTGACAGTACATCAGCCCCCAACCTGATTGGGGAGAGCAGGGCCTGGTGGAACTGGGAGGGGTAAGGCTATTTCTCACCAAAGGCCCAGTGCTTCATCTGGCGAAAGGCCCCCCTTTTCCCCTCCACCAGCTCTGCATTCCAAGGGGCCTCCAAGAGGGCCAGCCTTTGTCAGGCCCCAAAAAGTCCAATTCCACTCTTCCCCCAGGGCTGGGGTGCCTACTTGGCCACATTTGCATAACTAAAGGAGACCACTCAATGAATCCTCCCCTTAACAAAGAAAGCCTGTTCCTGGGGACTACTCCCAGCACCTAAGCTGGGGAGCAGGGGGAAGCTTCTGGAATCTGCCTTCAAAGGAAGAAACGGAGGCCTCCAGAGAAGGATCCCACAGTTACTGTGTGACAGGTCATGCCTGGAACCCTGTGCCCCTCACTCCTGACCCCTTCTCTAACGTCTCCGCAGGGCTTCCGTTTTCCTCCTTTTTTCCCTTACCAGTAACTTAATAGTAAACATGGATTTGCTGGTTTTGCCCAAATGTCCAAGATGTAGTGAAATGTTATATTCGATGTGTGATTGAAAATTTGGGGGTTGAGGGGGCTGGGGATGTGGCTCAAGCAGTTGCGCACTCGCCTGGCATGCGCCGTGCGCTGGGTTTGATCCTCAGCACCACATAAAAATAAAATAAAGATGTTTAAAAAAAATGGGGGGTTTGGGGAAACTCAGCAGTATTAGCACTGTATGGGGTGGCACTGTTTTTCCAGATAATTATTTGAAAATTTCTGAAGCAAACCTTTTATTTCAGTGAGGTACTGGGCATGGTCTGAAGCAGCCCCGTGGTCGCTGTTGCTTTTAAGTAGCAGGTGCTGATGGCCTGCCAGCGCCTCTCATCTGGGAGAGCTTCAGTCACTTCTCTCCCTCCTGTGGAAATTGCCTCCGTTGGCCATTCAGTTCTTTTCTTCCAGGAGAAACGTGTGCTTTTTGACATCTTCTTCAGCCCCTGCTAGGAGTGACATAAATCTCCTGACACATTCTCATTTCTGTGTCTGCACAGGACATGAATGTACCCTGAAAATGCTCTTTATTTATTTGGGCGTTGCTGGGAATAGAACCCAGCCCTATTTTTCATTTTGAGATGGGGTCTCGCTGAGTTGCTAAGGGCTTGCTAAATTGCGACGGCTGGTCTCCAACTGGTGAGCCTTCTGCCTCAGCCTCCGGAGTAGCTAAAAATTATCTTCCAAGCTTGCCTTTATATTAAAATGATCACAGACACACAGAAACGGAGAATCTCGGTTCTCTATGAGAGGCACGCACTGGAGGCCCTCGATCCACGAAGTCTCCACAGGGCGCGGGCAGCAACTCAGAGGGGCGCTCCCCAGGGGCCTCGCCGCCTGGCGCGGGCAGCGGGTGGGGATCTGCGAGCCCCCCACCCCAGCGGCAGGTGGTCTATCACCGAGCACCCGCTTCCCGGTGCCGCCCACCCCAACAGGAGTGCCGGGGATGCCGGCCTGGGCAGTGCTGGGGACAATGGCGCTTGGCGGTCGAGGACTTGCGGGGAGCCCGCGAGTGTATGAGGTGGCCATCCGCTGGATCCCGGGGTCTGCGGAGGAGGTGGGGTCGCGGTTTGCACGTGCGCCCCCGAGCAGACGTCTCCGTGGGACCTACCCGCTGGGACAGGGGGCAGGGACCCGGCAGCCCGCCAACCCCTCAGTGCTGGGGCCCCAGGCCGAGGGCAGGAGTGCCCCCC